GACAGTTGTCGAGTTCTAACCAACTGAACTACAAAGAGAAGTTGTCGAGCTCTAACCAACTGAGCTACAGAGAGACAGTTGTTGATCTCTAACCAACTGAGCTACAGAGAGACAGTTGTTGATCTCTAACCAACTGAGCTACAGAGAGACAGTTGTCGAGCTGTAACCAACTGAGCTACAGAGAGACAGTTGTCGAGCTCTAACCAACTGAACTACAAAGAGAAGTTGTCGAGCTCTAACCAACTGAGCTACAGAGAGACAGTTGTCGAGCTCTAACCAACTGAGCTACAGAGAGACAGTTGTCGAGCTCTAACCAACTGAGCTACAGAGAGACAGCTGTCGAGCTCTAAACCCAAGAGTAAATAATCGAGATTTTTTGCTTCTCGCTTGTAGAATGAAAAACCACTTTGTGGATTTTTCACTCTTTAATAAAGTCATTCATTAATTCATTCATGGAAATTTTTTAGCAAAAACTATGTACATACAGTTTATCACACGCAAGTCGTCTCTTTATAATTCAGGGGAAAAATCCAAAATAAAAAAGTTCTTTCTTTCCGTCATACGGCAGTACTTACGGATGTCAAAAGTTCACGTGTTCCTTTGTTTTAGACAATGAACGTATTATACAACATGACAGTTGGCTTACATTAATCACACGTGTTCATACACTTTCGTTTGGTAAAATTGCAGATAAGAAACAGATATTAACTCAACTTTTCATGCACGTATCATGGCTTTAACGAAGATTTATATAAATATAGGGCATGTATATAATCGGCTTTAGTACAATTTTTGAAATAATATGAAACTTTTTTGTGTGTGTTTTGATGTAATGTACCCAGGTGAATATAATGTTTTTGATGTTACTCTGAGTGTATATCCACACGGGGCAGGCTGAAAAGTTAGCCTGACCCTGGATACTAGTCCAATATACTCTGCCAACTGAGCTACGAGGCCAAGTCTGTTCAAATATGAAACTAGCGTTAGTCTGAATGATAAAGCTTGGTATAGGTTCCATTCCTGCCACAGGACGGCCTAGTGTTGCATTTTTGCATTTTTCGCAACTAATTCAAAAAAGGTTGTCTTTTGCAAACCTTAAACCGGCTTAAACTCTAAGCGTGCAAAGCATTAATGAGAGCATAATTTAATCAGTTTAGAAATCATATATGGGGCCCATTTCTTAGAGACATGGTAAATATCTCCTTACGAGAACTATTTATTCACAAATAGCTGCAATATTCAACTACTAAGCTCGAAACTTGTGCTCCCATTAAAGGGGAAGTCAAGTCCGTTCTGCGCATCGGTTCTGCGCATAACAATGTGAGGACCTCTAATGTGAAAATTGCCCAAATTTCACATTAGAGGTCCTCACATTGTTATGCGCAGAACCGATGCGCAGAACGGACTTGACTTCC